GGAAGTGGGGCTCCGCGCAGGCTCGAGCGAGACCTCGCCGTCCCTGGGGGGCTGCGATCTGCGAAACGGTAGCCACTTTCCGCGGGTGCTGGTGAGCGGAGTGAAGGCACCGGCGCAGTCCTTGCGAGACCTCCGGGGCGGCTGCGTCTGCGACGTTTGTCGCGCTTCGCGGGCTGCTGGTGGGGTCCAACGGAGTGGTGTACCGCGCAGACGTGAGCGAGACCTCGCCGTCCCTGGGGGGCTGCGATCTGCGAAACTGTCGCCGCGTTCCAGGGCTGCTGGTGGGTCCAGCGGAGTGAGGCACCGCGCAGACGCGAGCGAGGCCTCGCCGTCCCTGGGGGGCTGCGATCTGCGAAACTGTCGCCTCGCCGCTTTCGCGGGCTGCTGGTGGGTTCAGCGGGGAAAGGCACCGCGCAGACCTGAGCGACACCTCGCCGTCCCTAGGGGGCTGCGATCCGCGAAACTGTCGCCACTTTCGAGGGCTGCTGATGGTCGCCACTTTCGAGGGCTGTTGGTGGGTCCAGCGGAGTGAGGCACTGCGCGGACCTGAGCGGGACCTCGCCGTCCCTGGGGGCCATGTCATGTTGTTGTTGCCCCGCCGACGTTTCAAGCCCTTGCCCTGTCTCCTTTTGGACCTTGCGTCTTCCTTAGTGACTCAGGGGTTCACTTAGTTACTCATCGTTTTTCCCTTGATTGGGGACCTGCGAACCTTCCGAATGCCGCTCGCAGAAGTATATACGCCCATGTCACCGCCGCCTTCTCGTCCATCTCCCAAGCTACTCCTGCCCCGCATTGCGCAGGGGTTGGGTACGTCGCCAATGTTTGTGTTGACAAGCTTTTTCCAACTTTCCAAGTCCGGACAACCTCGCACTCAAACTTCCCCCGCTTCGATATTTCGCATTTTCATATTTCGCCGCGACTTTCGCGCATTGCTTGCTCGAAGGTGACAGCATAAGCCTTGATGATTAAGCCGACGTGGCCCCCGTCTCAGCAGGTTGCGACCATGTGCCGCGCCATGTGCGCGGAGCTCGAGAAACATGAGGACAAGACGGATGTTCATACCGTCAGCTTAGAGCAGGTATGCGAGGCTATCTTGATACATGGGCGTCTGCGAGCTGCGGCGGACTTCGCGATCGCCCCCGGCGGTGGCGATTATATCGCGAACATTTGCCCGCGTTGTAAAATGCCCCCCCCCCGCCGAGCCGAAAGAGTGGGCGCGTTGCGCGCTACCGGCATAGCAGGATGCACTTGGAGGCGCCGCGGAAGGCGGCGACGGGAGGTGCGCTGGCAAGAAATGCGGCCTCAGGCGGTGTTCGACAGGCGCAGGCGCGCATGTCCCAGGTTATCGTCTTCCCGCCCCGCGCCATCATCGACGTGGGGGGCATGTCGAAGGCCAGCGACGAGGAGGTCGAGTCCGTTGAGCGGTCCCAGATGCACGAGCCGGCCGAGCAGCAGTCGGGCATGGTCTTTTCTGGCCGGGGCGACCTCGAGCAAGGGGGCGCCCTGTCCGTGCCCAGGATGGCCGAGCTTGTTTCCATCGCCTGCACCCGCAATGGTGGCGGCCTTTCCCTGGGCGGTCTCATGGGAAAGGAGACTTGCGCGGTCGTGAAAGCCATCGACGCCAGCAACGGCCTACTAGAAGCTATCAGGCATGTGCCCAGGCACTCGGAGGACATGGATCACCGTGGCTGAGCTCGGGCAGCTGCGCGTCCCCCCTGCTGCGAGGACCAGCGCCGTTCCCTGGGTCAGTTCGCGGGCAACTACCGCGCTTTCTGCCCACCTGCAGATTGTCCCACGATGAACCGTGAGGAGCGTAACAAGCCCCTCGGCTGCCTGCTCCCGTTCTTCGACATCAAGGTCGCCTGTGGCGACCCGAATGCCCGGGGGACTCGGGGGAACCAAGCGCAGCGGCTGCGGGATCGCGTATGCGAGCGCCAGCAGCAGGCCACCGAAGAGCCGCTTGTGCGCCGCGCGCGGGGGAGAGCTGGCCGCCGCGCGGCCCGCGCAGCGGGCCGCCAGCGGGGCTGATGGCGCGCCGCGCCCAACCGATCGGCAATGCGCGCGTGGTGCGTCGCGACTCTTCCGAGCGGGGGCCTCGTCGGCGCGTGGGCGCGAGGGGCGGCCGCCGCGCGGCCCGGGACTACATCTGGAGCGGGCTCGGTGCGAGGGGGTTCGCGTCGGGCAGGAACGGGAACGCGTCGTCTCCATCTCGTTGCCGGACTGGCTCGGGCTAGTTGACCCCCCGCGAGGGGGCGCGGCGTCGTCCAGCCCTGCGGGCCAGGCGGGCAACAGACGCTCTGGCAGAGGCTTCCGTCCGAGCCAGTTGGCCCGCCTCCGGGATAGCCCCGAACCCCCGTCGACCGGTGGGCGCTTTCCCACTGCGAAGGCGTCCGCCCGTCCGCGCCCCCCTTTCGCTCCGCCGCGCGCGCGCGTGCGTGTGCGTGCGGGGGGGAGAGGGGCTGGTCAGGGCGGGGGGGCCCTCGCGACGGCTTAGGGGAGGCGGCCTGGGCTTCGGGGCTGCGCAGTTCTTCCGCAGTTTGCGCGACAGCTGGGTCGTCGCGCGGTCCGCGACCATTCCTGTTCATTCCATCCATCTCGACGCCGACCTCGCTTGGTCGGGGCCGAGGCCGCGCCTGCCATCCAGTGGTCGAACGCGACAGGCCTCGCGGGCTGCCCCCCTGACGAGGCCCCCGGTCGTCTGGTTGGGCCTCGCAGGCCGGCGCCCTCGGCGCCGCCCGCGCGAGGGGCGGCTCGCCGCCGCGCCGCCGCGGGTCGTCGCGAAGGGCGCGAAGGCAGGTGCGCGCGCGCCGCCGGGCGACGGGGGCGCCGAGAGGAACCTCGGACTGGTGCTAGTCGGACTGCGCGGAGGCGTAGGCGAGGGCGTCGAGAAAGGCGCGCAAGCTGATCTTCGAGCGCATATGCTGGGCCGCATTGGGGCGCCACCTGAGGGGGTCAAGGGTGGGGGCGAGCAGGTCCGCTGAAGGGAAAGACAAACTCGACGTCGACGCGTCGGCCCGGGGGGGGGCAGCGCGCGCGGGCGGTTGCGCTGGCGGGCCAGCGGCAGGCAGCGCGCGCTGGCGTCGAGCAGCGGCGAGGATATAGGCGGCGAGCGCTGCGTCAGTCAGGTGGTTAGACCGACGAGCGTCTCTGACCGCCAGGCGATGAAGCTGACCTTCCAGAAGACAGATGGGAAGCCCGAGGAGGGCCAGGTACCAGTGAGCTCCTATCTCGAGGCCAGCCATGCGAAGATCGAACGCAATTGCATCCTGACAGGCCCCCGTGTCAGCCGGCTCAGCCGAGGGAGACGAGGGTCCGCAGCGGGGGCAAGGCAATGCCGAGCGTCGGCAGCGGCGGGGCTCCACGCGACCCTTCGGGGCGGGAGCCTCGTCGGCGCTCTGGCGAGAGAGCTGGCCGCCGCCTGGCCCGGGGCGCGACCGGAGCGAGCTGCCTCTGTGTCGCCCCCACTTTCCGCCGACCAGCCTGCCTCGAGAGGGCGCCAGCGGCGGCGGGTTTCCACGCGACCCTTTGGGGGGGGGGGGCGCGCCCGCGCGTTGGCGGGGAGGGCCGGGGGAAGTTCGCGGAGGAGGGCGCCGGCAGCGGCGGGTGTCCACGCGACCCTTCGGGGCGGGGGCGGCGCCCGCGCGCTTGCGGGGGCGTTGGCCGCCCCGCGGCCCAGCGACGAGAAAACTCCTCCAGCGGCGCCGCGGCCGGGAGAACGGCGGCGTCGCGAAGCCGCGCCATTCGCGGCGTTTCATGCCGTGGCAGCGGTTCCATTCGACGCCGCTCGGAATACTTCCCCGTTCGGAGGCCGCCGACCGCTCGCCTCGGGGCGCGTCCCGGGCGACGGTGCCGCGAGAGGGGGGGAAGGAGGGAGATGTGAGAAGGTGAATGTTCCCCGGCGCTCGCAGCTTTTGGTGGGTGGTCCGGCATCCGTTTCTGACCTCCAGGTCTCCTTTCCCGTCCCCTTTTCCTTGGTGTCTAACTCTCATCGCATGGGGGGGGGCATCAAGTTCATGGGGACGGCAGGGGCCCTGAGCCAGGGCCCCCAGCACCGCTGTCCGAAAAACGGGGTGTCGCCGTCACCTTCTCCTTTTTTTCTGCCGTCGCACCGCTATTTTGGTTCATCGAGGATGCGCCTCCGCGTGCCCGCGCATAAGTGTATCCCCCTCACCCCCCCGCGTCTGATGCCATTTGGGCTCAGGCGTTCGGCCGTTTCAGAACAGCCCACCCGCCACCCTGGAGCATCGAGTTCCTGGGAGTGGCGGGGGCCCTGAGCCAGGGCCCCTGGGACCGCCACCCGAAAAAAGGGCATCGCCGTCACCTCCTCGTTTTTTTCGCCATCGCGCCGCCATTCGAGTCCGTCGAGGATACACACACATATATATATATATATATATATATATATACATACATGTATATTGAGAGGGAGAGATAGAGAAAGAGAGAGAGAGAGAGAGAATGACAAACATAAACATATATTGAGAGAGGGAGAGAACACATGCATCCGTACAGAGAGTCAGAAGGCTAGCGGGATGGGAGCGATGGTCAGGGAGAGGGACAGAGAGAGAGACAGAGAGAGAGAGAGGTAGAGACTGTCGCCGTTGCTCGGGTGGACTGTCGCCCTCCAGCTGGGTTCAGAAATTTGTGAGGGATGGGCACACCCCCCAATGGCGCGTGATGGACGGTCGACCGATGCGCCTGACCCCCCAGCGGGCACTGGTCCACAAGTTGGACTGGTGCCGGGGTCGCGGGTTTCAGAGGGCGAGGGAAGGAGAGAGAGAGAGAGAGAGAGAGAGAGAGAAACAAAAAAAGAAGAAGAAAGGATCTGATGGGCACGCCGAGCGAAGCACCGTCAACGCAGTGTGTTTCTTGGCTTGCCGAGGTCTCGCGACTGTTCCTCTTTCTTCTCTCCGTCGTCGTCGCTGCGGCCGTCGCCGCCGCCGCCGCTCCCGTCGTTGTCATTATTTTCCTCCTCGCTCCTTGTCCCCCTCTGTCCGCAGGCCCGACTGAAGTGGCACGGCACGAACAAGTATCTGTGCATCACTAAGAGTGGTTGGGCGGTTGCAGGACCGCTGTTGCCCCGCGCCCAATGGGTGGCCTTCTGCCTTGGACGCCGCCGACGGGCTTGCGATATGATCTTGCGGCTAGCAGCTCCACCATGGGCGAGCACAGAGTGCAACACGTACGTTTCGATTGTCTTGCGCGGGGCAGGGCGCATGATAATTATGCTCATGATGGTGGGATGAGGAGGATGATGATGAGGAGGAGGTGGAGGAGGAGGAGGAGGAGGAGGAGGAGGAAGAAGGTAGGTAGGTCGGGCCGCGGACGCGCGGGTGCCGAGCGCGCCGCGACGCCCGCCGCGGCCGCGCTCCTGCCCGCCTGCTGGGGTCAGCAGCCGCGCTCGTAGAACTTCAGGTCGAAGTTCTCCCAGCCAGTGCAGCGTGCTCGAGTATGCGTTCTGGTACTTGACGCTGCGCCTGCTGATGTCGTCGACATCAGTGCCACTGCGAGTGGCCCGCAGTGTCGGGGACGACCATCTCCTCGTACTCGTACTCGTACTGCTCGAACATGTCGTCCCCGGCGTCGAGGTTGGTGCGGGCGCGCTCGCTCCGCACCTCAGGCCTAACCCCTCGCCTGGCTGGGGAGTGGTACTGCGCCATCCCGTCAATGACGATGGCAGGCCTGACCCCTCGCCTGGCTGGGGATTCACACTGCACTCCTTCTAGACGCCTGGCTGCCCCTGGCTCGGGAGCAAGGGGTTGGGGTGCTCCAGGAGCTGCTCCCCTCCTTGCTCAATCCAGTGCGCCGCCCCTCGTGTGCTCCACAGGCCTTCCCGCCATCGTCCGAAGCTGTATCATCTCGAGCTGCGTCCACTCGAACTGCATGTCGGTAACTTGGGAATCCTTGTGGCGACGTGAACGCCGCGGGGCTCGCGGAGCACCCCGCGACGGTTTCCTGATCCATTGCGTTCTGACCTGACGGGCCCTCCATGGAGCCAGACCCACCAATGTCCTGCACCATGATGTTCTCCAAATTAGGCCTACCCCCTCGCCTGGCTGGGGGGATATGCTGCTCTTTCTCGATCTGCTTGTCAGGCCTACCCCCTCGCCTGGCGGGGGCCGTCGGTGTCTGGACTTCCCGCTGCCCGCTCCGCTTGCCCGTGATCCTTCTCCTCAGAGGTTGTGTTGATGAAGTCGCTGCATTCGCTTCACTGGTCAACCATGCCACTCCCATCCACTTGAATTTGCACAGCCTGACTGAAGCTCGTTCTGGATCCTGATTATCAGCTGGATCAGGTCTGCGAGGGGGGGGAGGTCGAAGTCGACCTGCAGCTGCGTCCCCGAGCAATCTTCTGAACATAGCGCGCAAGTCCGCGGAGGAGGAGGAGGAAGAGGAGGAGGAGGATGGAGGGAGGGGGAGAGGGGAGAGGCGGAGGAGGAGGGAGAGGAGGAAAAAGAGGATGGGAGGGATGGGAAGGGGAAGGGGAAGAGGAGTGACGACAAATGGCCCGTACCAGGCTGTAAAGATGGAGCCCCAGGGACGGTGCACGAGTGGGACCTTGTGAGCATGTCCTAGCTCATGTATTTGAGCGAGGTCGGAGTTTATGGGGCATGGGCGGGAGGGCGTCCTTCCGACCGTCGGGAGGGCAACCTTTCGACTCCCCACTTGGTCTTGGGCACGTGAGTAGGTTAGCTCCCCATATGCACGCGCAGAAATGTGACTCAAGGCGGACAGAAATTTTTTTTTTTACAGGTCGTCCGATAACCAGCCCATCGGAGAATGACTTTTCTCGGATCCTCCAGCCGGTCGGCCGGAGGCGCCTCCAACAGTGTATGTGACTTTAATGTACGGGTGATGCAAGAGGTTGCCAATAAACGAATTTGCCCGTGCGACTTCTGCCAGCAATTGCCCGTGCGACAGCCATCGGCCAAATAATCCCCGTGCAATGCTCCTCTCACAGACTGCCCGCGGGACAGAGTCTAATCCGCTCGGGGCGTTCAAGCGAGATGTTTACGCCAAGTGCACCAGCGTAGCGCGGCACCGCCGTAGTGATGAAACGCTGTCGCAGAATCTGTCTTACTTTAGTATTTTATATACGTGTGTAGTTCCTTGTAACGTGATTCTGTCAGTACAGCATTGCTTGACGGACGAAGTATCTGTCGCCGCTCGGCTCAAGCCACCCAACAAATCTCCCGCCGAAGTCACCACTGCACCGCTCAGACCGGATGGAGGGACCGCCGCCAGAACACCCATAATCTATCGTCCCGCCGTATGAAGTCGCGGGCCATCGAAGCTATCGGTCTGAGCTCCACGATTGGAGTGGCAGTCGGAGGCGCAGTGGTTGCCGTGGCTGGCGCCGCTGCCGGGCTGGCTCAGGGAGCCGTGCGCGGGGCTACCGCAGCTAGCAGTACGCCCCGTCTGGCACTGCCACCAGCCACAGATGAGCCTGCATTGGAAGGTCCTCCTGGGCCGCAAGGCAGTCGGGTTGGGCATCCACCCGATAGCTCAGCGGGGGGCGAGGCACCGGCGGCGCCCCGCCGTGCGTCTCCAGAGAGTCGACCTCTTCCTCGGTGTCCTATGTGCTGGAACCCAGGGCTGGGCACCGTCCGCCCGACCCAGCACGCGTACCAGGGAGACTGCAGACTTGCCCCCCCTGGCAGTCCAGCAGCGACGATCCCGACCGCTTCAGCACCAGCAGCCACAGCAGCTGCCTCAACAGCACCGACAGCATCCGCAGCCTTGGCTCCAGAAACACCTCCGAGGGCAGCGCTGTTGGAGGCAGCAGCGGTCAGCATGCCACGCTCTTCAGGAACTGTGGATGGATGCGCAGTGTCAAACACGCCAGACCGACAGGCGCTGGAAGCTGGTGCACTTGACAGTCCGTCGGGCGGGAATCCGTTCGATACACTGCCGCGTCGGGAGGGCGCCCTTCCGACGGCATCTGGCTCGTCAGAGCCGCTTGCAGCCCTGCAACTTGAGGAGCGCGTGCCGGCGCTCGAGAGCATGATGCTGGACATCAAGAGGGAGCTGCAGACAATCCGACAAGATATGGGACATGTTCTCAGGGCCGCGAACGTGGCCACTGAGGAGTCGCAGAAGATCGCGTTGCGCATGGGCAATTTGGAGTACGAGTGGCTTCTCTGGAACGACGGCCAGCACAACGGTGCCGCCGATCCAGAGCAACAGGGTGAAGAGGAGGACGGCCCACAGCCACCTCCGCACACACTGCAGGTGGTCGCCTTGACTCCCGCAGTGACTCCTCGGGCAGCCGGGTGAGTCCAGCATGACTTGCCTGGACTAGAAGCAGATCCTCTGCATCAGTGGTGGGGCGCTGCCACGCCGCGGGAGGGTCAGGACAGAGCCGAGTTTCCTCTGCCGTCGGAGTTGCCTGCAATTCTGGCACCAGGCGGGAGCACCACGCAACCCACGGTCGGAGGGGAGATGTTGGCAGCCATTCCCCCAGGCTTAGGGCTCACGACGGCCACAGCTGTCGGAAACCTCGCAAGAAGGCGGCCAGAGGGTCACAACCAGGCTATGCATCCGCCGCGCGGTGGTGACGGTCAGGGGGGATGCCAACCCCGTTCCCGCTCCGCTTTCGGGTTCGGTGCCGCCAGATGTCACGACCGTTTCTCTGCTGGACTTGCTGGCCGTCGCTCCCGACGCGCAGCAGGGCGTCCTATGCCAGAGGGACAGCGACATCTTGGACTTTCCTGCGGGAGCGTGGCCGCGCACGTCAATCGGACCGCAGTTCGAGCTGGGCGGGCCTCCGGGCCTTGGGAGTGCGAGCTTGGCGGGCCCAGCCTTGCCTCAATCTTCTGCGCCGTGGCGTGGAGCAGCTCCAGAAGGAGCGCTGGAGAGCCATCTGCCATCTGCTCAGGGCTGCAGACGTGGAGTTGCAGACCACTCCGACCAGAACAGCCCTGCCACCAGCATTAGCGGCGGTGTCCAGTAGGGCTGAGCTCAACATGGTTTGAAGAAGATGCAAGCTCTCGTGCCGGAGTTTCCTAAGCTCGAGCCTGGAGACCCAGGGGCCCGAGCACGCAGGTTCCAGCAGTGGCTTCTTCACGTGTCACAAGCGATCGAACCAGCAGGCTACCATGTGACTTCATGGTGGCAGTGGGTCCGCTCGTCAGCTGAGAGCACGCGCGCTGTGTATCTCACGAAACCTCTGGACAAGAGGGGGCGTATCTATCCGCAGGAGGCGTTGCCTCCGCAGCGCGCTCAGGTGGAGTCGTGGATGCGCCCTCGCATCTTGGCGTGCTTTCCGAAGACTCAACGCGAGTGGGTCGCCCTCAGGGCTCAGGCCGGCGTGGTCGACCTGTTCAACGCCTTGGTTGATTACCTCTTCAATTTTTTTGCCCCAGGTCCACCAGGTGAGAAAGATAACTTGCTACGCAAGGTCCTCGGCCCCGACGTGTGCGCCGGCGCTGGGTGCGCGCAGATCGAGCTCATGCGTTGGCGGGCAGATGTGCAGCGGCTGAAGGCCTTAGGGTGCATGCCCCCAGACCTCATGATGAGCCACCGTGCCCTGGGGTCTATCTTCGGCGCCGTGTTCGACAAGGCGGAGCCACATCTCACGTTATGTTCATCTCGCTCAGGAACCGTCTGGGCCTGCCCCACGTCGTCACCCCGGAAGCCTTCGAAGAGGTGTTGGAGTTCGCGTGCGCGGAGCTCTCGGCCCTCGTTTTGCTGGGGGTAGCTTCGCTCAATCCAGGATTCCCTTTGACCGACAGTCAGAGGGTGCGGCAAGTGCAGATGACGCCGGGCCAACCTGTGGTTCAAGCATTCGAAGGGCACGCCAGAAAGCTACTACCAGGACGTGCTGCACTTGGCGCATGGCGAGTGCTATTGCCACAAAGAGACCTCCGCCCAGGGCGTTCCCATGGTTTATGTGATGTGGTCGCCGTCGAACGACAACGTAGATTTGTTCCCAGAAGAGGCTTCTATGGGAGCGCGGGTGCAGTATTACAAGGGGGGATGACCTCATTGTTCAGACGCCCAAGAGGCGGGAGTCTCAGGTCCAGATGTGGGGCAACATGCCATTTATCAGCAAGGACGTGCTCCTTCGGA